TCCTTTGAGCTGTGCAAAATTGAAATTTAAGGCTATGCCTTGTCCAGCGATGTGGTGGCAGGAAATGAATGATGGAATTTTTATTTTAGAAGGGAAATTAAGGCAAATTCTGCTCAGTTATGACTTTATTGCGATGGATTAGCCAGGTTTTTATTCCAGTTTCTATTAGATGTGAGGAGTAGCTGGGTTTACACATACACGACACGCACATGCTGTAGTTTTTATGTTGCCTACAGTTTTTATTTTAACATAATTCTCGTTACTCAGAGGATTTTGGTGATTATCATAATGCAAATCACTCATGTTCTTATCACACCATTAATTACAGCACTTGTATTCTTTTATTCTTTGGATTTTCAGGGGGGAAAAAAGACCCATTTGTGCAAAAATAAATAAATCCTTTGTTGCAGAATAAATCTCTTAAACTGATTTCCTCCAGAAGTGGTAAAATACGTGTGACTAATTAAAATTAAGTGGTTTTCATCTACTTTAAATCTCCACCATTCAGCTTTATTTAGAAATTCTTTTATAAATAAACCATGGAAGTGTATAACCAGTCAAATATGTTGATATCTTTCGGTCTGAAGCACTGCCAGCTGCAGATTATATGGTGTAAGACTTAAGGCAGTAAAGAAATCAAGGCAAATCCTTTCCTAGGGATTGAGATTGTAGGGATAAGGATAAATAACTCTTCATGTTATAGATTTGGGATTCTGTATTGACAAAAAATAAATGAAATTACAACATGATGTAATTCCAGTGTCTAACTCTTCCATAAAACAAAAGTAAGTGAAAGAATGGAGTTTAAGCTTTCTGAAATATCTGAGTATGCAAGACATTAATGAATTTATTGAAGGTGGATAAGTGAGTGGTAAAATATTGGTGAAATTGGGTGCTGAGATGGCAATCCTGGTTCATCACTTTTTAATGCTCTTTACTGTCATGAGTTTGCATCAAATCTTCTGGACTAAACTTGGGAGTTTTTCAGTGACAGCCCTGTGCAGGATTAAACAGAGGAGCTGTGGTTAGGAGCCTCTTTCCCAGAGTCACACATTTCACTGAAAAATCCCTTTTTTGTGTGTGAAATGATTTCCCCATCCCATCCAGAGTATTGCATGGAATTACCACGGATGCACTTCCCTGTCCTCATTAACTGAAGTCTCATTTGCTTTTGGGGACCTTTAGAACTCTGGTTGTTGTTGGTTTTCTCAGTTTTTACAGAGATGGAGTAACTGAGAGGTGTTTTAAAAGATTTTATTCCATTATCAGTCTTGATGAATAATGAGAGACAAGAGATGAAAAACTTAATGCTGTTTTATCAGAAGCTCACTTATTTCTTGGTCACAATACCTTATCAATGTTTTTCAGCCTATTAACTTTTGCTACACAATGTTATTACTTCTAACACCAATCACCTGTGTCTTTATCCCATGTGGTCCTAGTACAATGCGTCTTTCACAGTCCTAATTCTCTAAAATATCTGGGTTTTTTGCAAGGCCATTATTTTGAAACATGTTGAAACTTGTTTCTAGTTCAGTCTCTCAACAAGTTGTCATAGAATTGGAGGTTTTCAGGGAGTCTTGGGATGGTTTGGGGTTGGAAGGGGCCTTAAATCCCATCCAGTTCCACCCCTGCCATGGCAGGGACACCTCCCACTGTCCCAGGCTGCTCCAAGCCCCAATGTCCAGCCTGGCCTTGGGCACTGCCAGGGATCCAGGGGCAACCTCCCCACCCTAATTTCTCCCTAATATTCCCTCCCAATCTCCCCTTTTTTAGTTTAAAACCATTCCCTGTGTCCTGTCCCTCCCTCCCTTGTCCCCAGTCCCTCTGCAGCTCTCCTGGAGCCCCTTCAGGGGCCCTGAGCTCTCCCTGGAGCCTTCTCCTCTCCGGGTGAGCACCCCCAGCTCTCCCAGCCTGGCTCCAAAATGTGATTTTGTGTGCTGTGATCCCAGATTCGATGCTCTCAGCTCTGCAGGGCTCTGTGTTCAGGTTTCTGAGAGCCAAGTTGTGCTGCTGATGGCAGGAAATGTCATTTTCTGCCTTCCTCCTCCTCCTGCCCTTCCAGGGGCTTTTCTCTTGAGGTTTTCCTGTAGCTCAGGGTTCAAACCTGCCCCCCTCAGCTTGTGATGGGAAATAAAAGCAGTTTGTGGTTCAGGCTGGTTTGGCTGCTCTGAGTGTGTGCAACTGCTTAAAGGAAGGAATAGGAAAAAGAAAAAAAGGCAATTCCTTGCTCCCCCCAAAATCCCACAGAGCTGGAAAACAGAACAACAGAACTACCCCACTCTGTTTTTCAAACCTCCTTAATTGTCTTTGGAACTAAAAATAATTTATATTTGCGTATTAACACCCTTTCCAAAGTCTAATATCATATTTATTCCCAAACTCAAGTGTTCTGCAGAGATTTCATGTGAAAATTTTTCTCATTTCAAACAGTTTTTCCTGGCTGAGCCTTTCTGGGAAGGGCTCAGGTTCTGTTTGAGAGCTGCTGTTGAGTGCTCTGGACTGTTCTTGTAAGGAACCACTCTGGGAAAGTTTCTCTCAGGCAAAAAGAGCCTGAAAATATTTACTCTAGTACTTGATGGTTAGAATTTTAGCAATCTGTAGGTGGAAATTCCCATGTGAAAAACTTGAAGCCCTTCAAAACTGAAAAAGAGGTGTCTTGTATTCACTTAGTTTGGAGTACAAAATAGTATTCGTATGATTATTATTTAAAAAAAAAAACATATTTCTGCCTGTGGATTCAGTGAATGGAGCCTCATCAGGCTGCTTAGTCAAGAATTAAGGAATTGCTCACAGATTTTCCCAGTGAGGATTAACATCTGACAGAGCCCTGTCACTGCTGCAGCCACAATGGGAGCCTTTATGTCCCCTCACATTTCATTTCTTCCTACAGACACAGCTTTGTTTGGCAGGGCAGCCTGGCTGGATGTGTGTGCACTGAAAAATGTGGATTTCTGACAGGTGTAAAATGTCTGGGAATACAGCAAAGGTTGAGGAAAGAGCCTGGTGTGGTTAACTTTCAGTTCATGAAAAATAAATATTCATCTTTCACCCTGCATTGATGGGTGTAGACTCCCAAATTCGTCTAAATTTTCATGAAATATTGAATTTTCTGCGTGACTTGTGCACTTTGCAGCTACTCAGAAATTTGGTTTTTCTCATGTTTTCAAGGATTAATTTCCTTGAAATTAATTTTGAAATTTCCTAGCCCCGTGGGGAGATTATTTCGAGATGATTTTCCTTTTGTTTTTGTGACTTGTTGATTCAGCGGTCTGAGGGATGAAAAATTCGGAGGATTTTAGAGGTTCTGAGTGGGTTTGGGAGGTGTTTTCCGTTCTCTGTCAGGTTCTCAGCTGGCAGCAGTTGGTGTGGGAGTGACTTTGGGCACAGCCAGCGCCTGTGCCGTGTCTGTGGTGGGGGCAGCACAGAACCAGAGGTTTTGGGACACAGAGCTTTGGGACCAGACCAAAAATCCCTGCCCGTGGCTGGCTCACCTCACCCAGCTGTGCTGGCAGATCAGAGAGATCCCTCCTGTGCTCAGTCACTCTGAAATATGTTGTTTCATGTTTAATTACACCTGAATTTCATTTACTGTGTGTTTGCATCTATTGTTCCTTTTCCAATTTCTCCTTTACAGCTTTTTTCTACCCTGTTCCAGGTCAGAGCAGATCTTGGAACAGTGAAGCTATTTTTTTCCCCTTCATCTCCTTTTTTTTTAAGCCTTTTTTTGTGGTTGAGTTCTTATTTGCTTTGTGGAACTAAAACTTTGTGGTCAGTGTAGCACACACAGGATGTTTGGTTTTGGCTGAGTCAGTCTATACAAACATATATATATATGTATATATATATATATGTGTGTGTATATATATGTATATATATTATATATATAAATGTATATGTGTGTATATATTAATATATATGTGTGTATATGTATAATAATATATAAAATATATATGTATATATTTCTTTATAGAATATCTATTTGTATACATATATTTGTATAAATGTGTATAAAAATATATAAATATATATAAATAAATATATAAATATATAAATATATAAATATATAAATATATAAATATATAAATGGGACCAGTGACCTCCAGTGCACACTGGGAGTGTACATGTATGTATATATATGTGTGTGTGTGTGTATATATATGTGTATATACATATATATGTGTGTATATATGTATATATATATATATATATATATATATACATACATACATGTACACTCCCAGTGTGCACTGGAGGTCTCTGGTCCCACTGCTCTGTGCTCTCAGCAAACCCAAATCTTTGTTAATCCCATAAAAACCTGGATTTGGGGTCTTTGAAGCTTGTGGGTCACTGAATTTCTCCTTGGTTTTCCAGATGTAGGAGGAGGAATTCAAAGCTGAATTACAATGGATGTTACTGTCCTGGGTGTAAGAGGGGAGTTTTTACTCTCTGTAGTTAGTGTGGGCAATATTTAAGCTCCGTTTGATATAGAATAAACCTCAAGTTATATTTTTTAAGAGATTTTTCTTCTGCCATGTGCACAGCAAATGCTGAGCCCCCACTTTCCTCATTTGGAGAACTGAAACTGAAACAAGAACAGCAATAACCAAAACCAGCCCTCAGTAAAACACTGGATTTAATTAAAAAAAAAAAAAAAACAACTTGAATTTTTAAATACCACCATTTATGCTAATTGATGTGTAATTTGGGTTGTTGGAAGTGCCCTGGAAGTGTCCCAGACCAGGCTGGGCAGGGCTTGGAGTAAACTGGGCTAGTGGAAAGTGTCACTGCCATGGCAGGGGGTGGCACTGGGTGCATTTTAAAGTCTCTTCCAACCTAGAACATTCTGGAATTCTGTTTTTCTGTCCCTCTCTCCCATCCTCACACACAGCTGGGAAATCTCATTAGCTCAGGTTTGCAGATTACACTCCATTTCCTGCTCTCAGTTTGTGATTTGTTGCTTTAAAAAACCCTCTTTTTTTGTATTTTTATTTTTTTAGAGTCTGAAAAGATCCCTGTCATGCGTGGCCAGTGGTTTATTGATGGGACTTGGCAACCCCTGGAAGAGGAGGAAAGTAATTTAATAGAGCAGGAGCACCTCAACCGCTTCAAAGGCCAGCAGCTGCAGGAGAGCTTTGATATGGAAATATCCAAACCTGTTGATGGGAAGGAGGGTAAGATTGTTTAGATCACTATAATACATTTTTTTGGACACTTGAGGTCTGCTTTTCCTAAGTAACAATGTGATTTGCTTAGGTTTTTGATCCTGTAAATTGGGGAACATCAGTTTGTTGTCCCATTTTCCAGTGTGGGATTTCCCGCTGCATGCAGCATGTTTGGGGAATGCTGTAAAAATGAAAGTTATGTTCCCATTGTGTTTCATATCTTCTAATTGTGTTTGAAATCTCATTTCAAACTAAAATCTCTTTATGGGACAAGAGGAGTCAGTGTCCAAAGGCAAACTGGCTGATTGCTCTCTGCAATCCCTCATTCTCTCAGCATCCCTAATTCTGCCCTGAAGGGAGTGGGATAATTTTTACAAATCACATTCCACTTTCCATTTTGATTCAGGCTGGATTTATCAGTTTTCAGCTGCAGTAAATCTTGGGCATGCATTCTTTTGGGAAGTCCTTACATTTTAATGGGCAGGCTGAGGACGTTCAGGTAGTGTTGCTGAGAATCTTGGTCTGCTGCATGGAACATTTTCAAAATTCCTGAAATTACTGGTCTGTTATTTAATGTACACAGTTGAATTGATTGCTCAGAGCAGGTGTTGCACAGCAAAAAATCACAATTTTTGGCCTTCACACTTTTGGCTGTCTCTTGCTTGAACAATCTACAAACCACAAGCTTCAAGTACAGAAAGCCCTTAAGATATCTCAGCAGGGATTTGGTTGTGTTGTTCTTTACAAAGAAACTTTATTTTTGAAGTGGAGCTTTGTGCAGAGCAGTCACACCGTGTGGGAATGGCTGTGTTTTGGCCACACAAGTAAAGCCTTGTTCATAAATTGGAAGCCCAGCAATAAATTCTGTAATCACTGTAATGAAAACCAAAGTGTCATTTCTTGATTTAGGGAGTTTTTTCAGCATTACTGACAGTTTCTAACTCCTCTTTAAAACTAGTGAGGACTTTATGAATATTTTTTTCCTTATTTGTGCTACTTTAAAAGATCTTTTCACCTGGCCAAGGCTGCAGAACAATTTTCTGCTAGAACAGCTCTGTCCAAAAGGTGCATGAAGTGATGTGAGCCCAGAGCCACAGCTCTGTGCCTTTGCAATCATCATTCTGGAAAGGCACTTTACCTGTATTTCTGATTTATTGTCCCAGAGGCACAAAGCTCAGGGTTGTTAGTGCCAGGGATTTATGGTTTTTCACATGGAAAGCAAATCTTTGTGGTTCCTGAGTGCTCCCAGCCTTTGGTAGTTTAATTTTTGAGGGAAGGCTGCAGTGGTACTTGGGTTCTCCTTATAGAGTAAATCAGAGAGGTCAGGGTTGGAATTTTTTTCAGATAAAGTCTGGACTATGAACAGAAATTTTTGGATTTGATGCTGGATGGACTGGGGAGTGTGATGAAAAAGATATGACCACTGATACTTATGAAAATGTAAAAGATCAGAAAAAGAAAGTCCAAATTCAGGTGCCAGTGCCTTTTCTAAAGCCAAAGTCAGAGAAGAAAAAAGGCAAAACCAAAAAGCAAACCCCCAAAAAACAAAACAAAACGAAAAAAACCAAACAAACCCCAAGCTATGTATGGCATCACTTCAGTGGTATATATGTCAAGTCACCAGCAGGTTCCAACAAGGGTTTTTGGTAGTAATAGGAGAGTTGCAGGACAATTACAGCTGACAGTGTGTGAAAAGTGGCTTTGTCATTCTAATTTGCCTCTCAATGCCTCCTGGATCCTCTGGCATCCACAAATGCCATCTGCAGTGGCACTGGGAGAAGCTCTGCAACTGGTGAAATAAACAAAATTAGCTGAATTCAGTCTGTAAATTTCTTAAATGCTCCATTTTGCTGTAATTGCATCCTGTGTGAAGCAGTTTTTGGTGCCATCAGGGTTTACAGGTACCTGTTGTTTATGATTAGTGAAAGTTGAGATAAATCTGGAAGTATCCATTGGGAAGCAGTGATTGTTCCCAGTGCTGTGATAAAACCTTGTGAGGGATGAAAAACTGACCAGGCCCTGTGATTCCTCAGCAAAATTCATACAAGGTGCTCTAACAGCCCCTTTGTACCAAGGATTACTCCAGTAATTAAATTTATTAATTGTATTAAATTTATTAATTCTGATTCATTTATTAATCCTGGATTGCAGCATGTTAACAAGGAAATCACCAAGCTTCATCCAGGGCTTTTGGTGGTGATAGGAGGGAAAAATGCCCCCTAATTACACTGTTAATCCCAGCAAACCTTCTTCTGAAAGTGCAGAATTATTCAGGAGGAAGGTCTCCAACCTGCAGCTAACAAATAACGTGATGCCCATGCTGATATTTGTGTTATTCTTTACAAAGAAAAGTTTGTTGTATTCTTTTGGGAGCACAAGGAGCTTTAAATGCAGAAGGGAACAGAAAGCACAAGGGACTAGAAAGCATAGATGACAGGGAGTGATTCCCCAGGCTCTGTTTTCCATGGGGCAGCCTGGAGATCACTCCTTTGCTGAGCAATCTGTAGTTTGCATTTTGATTTTCATCCTCACAAAGTATTTGATTTCATGCCTTGCAAAACGAGCTTGGTTTATGGTGCCTGATGCCAGTGGCTCCTCTTGGTGCCTGATCCCCTTCAGTGCATCATGTAAATTATTGTTGTAGTGGCAGGGTGCAGAAATGGGGCATTTTATGATCAAAAGGAGCTTGGGCAGCAGGTGAAAGGAGGGAATTGTCCCCCCTGCTCTGCTGAGACCCCTCTGGAATTCTGTTCCTGCTCTGGAGCCAGGCTGGGAGAGCTGGGGGTGCTCAACAGGAGAGGAGAAGCTTCAGGAGAGCTCAGAGCCCTTTCCAGGGCACCAGGAAAGCTGGAGAGGGACACCTATGTGGCAGTAAATAAGTTTAAAATTTACAGAATGACAGAAGATTTATAAACTGCCTTTTCTTCATGTTAGGCAGGCAGTGAGTTCAGCACCTATCTGAAGTGGCCCATCAAAGGAAAAGCATTTTGCAGAGATTTCTGGCATATCCAGGCTGTTGTCAGATAAAACAAAACCAGTTAGGTTCCTATCATCCATTGCTCCATGACCTTTTTCAGGTATATTCATTTAGTGATGATGGAGTGAAGCTGAAAACTTTATTTATGAGATAGGAAGGTATAAAAATGTGGTTTTTGTTGACAGAGTGACGAAACTATTTCTTGTCCCCTTAAAAAGGAAATAAGCCCAGACATTTCTCTCCTCAATGAGGTGAAAAGACATCTCACAGGACCTGGGGGACTTCACCTCAAACTTAAGGATGGCTAATGGGACAGAAGCCAAAAAGTCCAGCCTGGGCAATTTACTAGAAAAAGAAGAAAACAAAAAAACCAATCACTTTTGTGAGGTGTTCTACCAGGGGCCTCTTGCACCTAGATCAGTTTTTCTCTGTAAAGAGTTTTGTTATTTTGCCTTTTATTAAAACCTTTTTGTTTCCAGCACTCCCACGGAAGCCATCCTGCTGATTTTATGCCTTAGCTCAGCTACCTCAGACTATCTTGGGTTAAATAGATCTCCAAAAGCTTGTGAGACCTGGCTCGAGGAGACCCATATTTCAGGAAGGTGGGATAGGAACAGATACAGCTCTTGGTACTTGCACAGAGAGATGCTCAAAATTCAGCTGGAAATCAGCCAAGCAACCTGATTCAAACCTGAAATTGGATCTGACTTTGAAGTTGATGCTGATCTGTGAAGAGGATTGGAGCAGATGAACCCCAGCAGTGCATCTGCCAAAAAATAGCCTGTGATTCCATGATAGACATAGAGAAATAAAAAATCCTGCCAGTTAGAATTAATATTTCGATGCATTGATTTTGAGACAGCAGAACTCTGTTGGGTTTTTTCTTACAGAATTTCAGTGTGTGGTCAAGGCCACAAAACCTCTGAAAATTGCATTTGGGAGAGCTGATTTTTTTTTTTGTCTTGGCTTTCAAATAGTATTTTCTCACTGTATAAAAAATTCATATAGATTTTTGGCACAGCCAAGTTAACCTTTAGATGGGAAATTCCTGTTCATAGACTTGGAGAGTTGTGCAGGTCAGGAGGGATCTCTGGGGATGCTCAAACCCAACCTCCCTGCTCTGATGAGAGCAGCTTGCTCAGGATGTTTCCTGTGGGATTTTCAGTCTCTCCAGCAACAGACTCCACAACCCCTCTGAGCAGCCTGTTCAGTATTTTACCACCCTCACCGTGAAAAGCAATTTTTCCTCTACTTTCCTGGACCTTCCTGTGTTGATTCTTCCTGAGGGAAGTAAAAAGCCAGTGCGATATTGCAAATTAAGTTATTCTGTGGAATCCCCAGTGCTGTAGCTCTGAGAATTTATTTTGATTTTCCTCCCCCCAGAGAAGTGATGTGCAGCAATAAATACATTTCATTTACACCTGCCCTGAGAGCTGTGGGCACACCTGGGGCAGGTGACACAAGTGTGGGATGTCACTCACTTTGCTGGAGTGCTGAAACCTTGCAGAACAGGGCAAGAACAGGAGAATTTGTCTAATCTAACTTTTAACCATCCTCTTACACTCTTTAGGGGGAAAAAACCCCAGAGTTGTGCTTAAAGTGGGGTTTTTAGTGCACATTTAGGAAGGGTCAGTGTGTTCTACCCTGTACCAGGGAGGGGATGATGCTTTAGGTGTCTCTGGTGGCACCATGTCCCACTGCCTCTTACTGATGCCTTTACCTCTGCTGTGATGTCATAACTGCTTGTGAACAGTGAAAATATTGAGTTTGGGACTTGCTACAAAATCTCTTGGTTTTTTGTTTTTTTTTTTAATATATACATTTTAGTTCTTTTTAGAAAATGTGACTTTTTCCTTTTTTTTTTTTCTGAAAATGGTGATACTAATGAAAAAAAAATGACACCCCTTTTAAAAATTTTACTTTGAAGCTCAGTGTTTTTACTTTTAGTTCTCTACTACCTCCCTCCCTTCTCCCTCCCTTCTTTGTTCAAATGGAGAGGATATAAGGAGAAATCAGATGCTGCATGTCTTAA